CCTCGAGGGGTAAAAAGTATAACTATTGCACTGTGCTGTACAGCTGAAACTAATTCTAAAAAAATGTGTATTTCACAATAAAAAATAATTTTTTAAAAAAATGGGGGGAAAAAAAGGTAGGAGAAAATTCTATGCCTTGCCTTTTTCTGAGAAGAGTCTCAGAAGTCTGGATAATTGAACCCTCTCCATCCCCAATCCACCATATGTGACCTCGACTAGTTTTCTACCTGCACTACTAATATATCCATTTCCTCTTTGTGACTCAGTAATTTTAACCTATGGGCTTCTGTTCTCCCTTCCTGATATAAAAACATTAAAAATAGGTATTTATAAGTTTTCATCTCATTAAAAATATCTCATTATTATAATTCATTTTTGCATGGTCCTGTGTTGGAACACCTTTGGTACAAATCAACATTACAACACTCATGACTCTCCCTCCAAAACAAAGCTAAAGAGGCTGACTATCCAGTTAGTGGCTTTCAAATTACCCTACCTTAGAATTGAGGCGTTCTGTGAACTAGAACAAGTACTGCTGCTAAAATCTCCCTAATGGCCAAATAGCAATGAGGGAAAAAGTTAATAAATGTGATTTCCTCAAATTTAATCCTCTTCATCTATTGGCAACCGAAAAAAATGAATAGGAAACCAGTAAAGAAAAAGAAGACCAATTGTATTTAGCATGTGTGATCAGGAATCTTTATAAAGTGCACATTTGAATGTTTTCTGCAAGTAAATATTGTAGTTTCTGGCTCCCAGAATGAGAAGTTAAACGCTGCAGTGTAAACAGCACCACAATTTACACAGGAACAAGTTAGGCCATTGGCCATTTCCCACAGGAGGTACACCAAAATTTGCTCCTCTCTTTCAGTAAGCATTCACATGCCAAGCGTAGGGGGAGAGATGACGGGCAAGCTGCCTTCTCTACCAGCAGTGTCATACATACCTTGCACTAACTCCTCCCCACCCCCATCACACCTCTACCCAGCACCTACTCCTGCCCAGCCCCAACTTTTCCCCTGCCCCATCACCTCTCTACTCAGCACTAGCTCCTCCCCAGTCTCATCACACCTCTTTCAGCAGACGCTTCCTCTGTTTCATCATTGCCAAGCCACAAGCTGAGAGAAGCTTCCAGCATCAGGAGAGGAAAGTAGGGAGGCTATATTGCAAAAATCTGTAGTCCCCATACAAGCACCATCTGCTCTTACGGAGAAACTCAAGGCACAGCCCCAAAGTGGCAAGGACGTGCCTTGGCTCGCATCTAGTCAACGGGCGTTTCTGGCGCGCTTGCGGTGGGGCCCAAGTGAGGAGCTGATGATACAAAGGTGAGCAGTAGAGTCGCGGTACCAGCTCCCTTGGGGCTTCCAGTCTGCGGGAGAGGTGATCATTTCTTTAAAGCCCGCATAGCAGAGGTAGGGCGAGGAGCACTTGAAGCTACCGCTGGGAGAGCTTACTTAATCCCTGAACTGTAAAGGGCTAACTCTAACCCAGTCGGAAGTGACGTGCCTGCTGAGACCCGCAGGTCTGCCACGTAATTGGCCGCGCCTCAACTAGCCACCTTCTCCCCGGACTGGCCAGCCGAGGATAAGAGTAGCTCAAAGTCCGCCGCCCGCCCCCGCCCCCAACGCCACCCGGGATCAGCCGAGCCCAGCCAGAGCCCGAGCGGCTACGGGGACCGGAGAGCATCGTCTGCCCGCGCCCGTCGGCGCCCTGCGGGCAATGGGCTTCAGCGCTCAGCCACGCGCATGCGTGTCCCTCTTCCTCCAGAGGATTCCTCAGGTCACCTGGACGACCACGTTTCAGCCACCTACCCCTCCAGGTCCCTTTTCGCCCTTGACGACTCCTGCAGATCCTCACCACCGGCCTCCCGCCTTCTTCTTCCGCAGGCACCGCTAAGCCCTCCCGCGGCCGCCCGTCGACACCCCGGCTTGCACTGACACGAGCCTCTCGGCGCGGCTTCCGCTTCCGGCGAGTATTGTGTGTCGCGCTGCGGGGCGGGGGTGGGGGGGAGGAGGAAGGAGGGAGGCAGTGCTCCGGCGGCTCCGTGCCCCGCACTACCGGACCCGAAGCCGGGAAGGTAGGTGCTGTCCCGCCGCCGCGCCCGGGGCCCGGGGCCCGCCCCATCGGCCGGCTCCGCACGCCGCGTCCCAGCGCCCCGCGACTGCGTCACCAGCCCCCCGCACGTAACCACAGCTGCCTCCTCCCGCCTCGGGCCCGAGCGGACGTTTTGCCGCCCCGGCGACGTCAGCGCGTCCGGCGTTGCTTGGCTACCCCGCCGTTTCCCCTGTCCCGCTGCCGCTCGCCTCCCCCGGTGAAACTGTGACGCCGTCGCCGCGGGTCTCAGCTGCGTCATAGCAGCCGGCATCCCACCTTCACGTCACACTCTTCCCCACCTGGACACGCATCCCTCCCTCCCTGCCAACCTCTCCCTCCTCTCCAGTCCCCCTGCGCCAGATCTGACGGGAGAAGATGGAGACGGGGTGGGACCGAGTTATGGACCACGCTCAGGAGAGGGTCGCAAGGTGGGACCCCGGACAGTGGTAGAAACAAAATGAGGACGTGCCTGAAGTTTGCCCTTCTGCAGAGACACGAGGACTAGAGGGAAAGAAATGACCAACCCAGAGGCGCCCGAGGCCTCACATGTCTGTAGCTCCAAGTCCTCTCCATACTCCCCTAACCTTTTCCCCATTTCTTTCACACCATTTCTTTGCGAGTCAGATCCCTCCTGGTCGCTAACTCTGCATACACTTCAACTCACCCCAGGTGAGGAGGACACCTAATTTCTAGAACACTGGGAAAAGGGCAGGGTCCCTACTCAAAGTTGGAGTTCCATAGGAGGAGAAAAATCATGTAACTGAACAGTCTTCCCTGGTTGAGGGAAGAAATTGAGGCCCAAATAAGTTACTATTCCAAATTAAACACTTTTCATGCGTGCCATCAATATACACAGGAATAATTGTTAACCCAACTCGTTATAGGGCCATTTCTCTCTCAGCACATAGACCTACTAAATTTCTTTCCTGTTGGGATCCTTGGAGAGGAGGGAGGGTGGACAAGTGGGGTTATGGGGATAGAGAAACCAACCATTCCATGGATAAAAGTGGTGATGTCTTAAGGATGGAGTAGGGGATCAGCCTTCTGCTTTATAAATGCTTTATGCATTCCCAATGCTTTTGAGGCTTCACTTGGAGATTTTGATTGTCTTCTTTACTTTTCATTCCCAACCACTCCAGTTGGAGGCACAGTATGTCCAAGGAATTAGTTATCGATAGGTATTTCATAAGACTCCAGTCCCTGCTAAATATTTAAAATAGATTTTTCATCCCTCTTTTCAAGAGGTTATCAGCCTGGACTCAGTAATACGCTCCTTAGTATAGTTGCTATGAATTTATCGCTTGTGTCCAGATGCACCCAAATAAAATAGGATGTTGTGTGAATCATTTCATTCCAAAAAGACGGCACACTTCCTCTAGGCTAGTCGAATAAAAGGAAGAAGAATTTTAAACTTTCCTGAAAAGAAGGTTGTAGGCCTTACCTAATTAATTCTATTTATTACCATTTGAAAGAGTGAGAGAAGAACAGTGGCAGAGAATCAAGTTTGGGCTCCAATGGACTATTGTAATAAAACTCTTCTGTAGCATTAAACTTTAAAATATACCTAATTTAAGAAATCTTAATACTTTGACTTTAATGGCATTTTGCACTTTACCAAACTTCTTTCTCATCGATTAGAAAAGTATGTCACACTAGGGATACATTGGTCTGGAACTATTGGTTTTAAGATACAAGTTGGATGAGCCTGAATCAGGAGAAGTATACTGAGCTAGTTGAAGGGAAGCCTCTGTTTCTAACGAGGAAGCAGAGGTAGAAAACAAGAGATTGGAAGTTGTGTGTCAGTTTGCTGAAGAGGAAAACATTTTGATGGCTAGAAGTCACAAGTTTTGGAAATGGAGAAACAAAAGAGAGGTTGAATCTGGTACAAGAGAAGATGTAAAATACCAAAATGGGGCTAAATCTGGAGTTAGGATTTTATATGGGGGTAAATGTCAGGGCAGGGATGCAGAAAAATTAAACCTCCAACTAACATTTTTCTCTGCCCCCTTCCTGTCCCCAAGTTAAATAATGGCAGAGACAAGTCTCTTAGAGGCTGGGGCCTCTGCAGCCACCACAGCTGCAGCCCTGGAGAACCTACAGGTGGAGGCGAGCTGCTCTGTGTGCCTGGAGTATCTGAAGGAACCTGTCATCATTGAATGTGGGCACAATTTCTGCAAAGCTTGCATCACACGCTGGTGGGAAGACCTAGAGAGGGACTTCCCTTGTCCTGTATGTCGAAAGACGTCTCGCTACCGCAGTCTCCGGCCTAATCGTCAACTAGGCAGCATGGTGGAAATTGCCAAGCAGCTACAGGCTGTCAAGCGGAAGATCCGGGATGAAAGCCTCTGCCCCCAGCACCATGAGGCTCTCAGCCTCTTCTGCTATGAAGACCAGGAGGCTGTATGCTTGATATGTGCAATTTCTCACACCCACCGGGCCCACAACGTTGCGCCACTGGACGATGCCACACAGGAATACAAGGTGGGGAACCAGACACATGATGTCAACATTGGGCAAAAGGGAGGAGCACAGAGGGGGGGCGGGGGCTCCCTGGGTAGAGGATCGTAAGCTCCAGACTGGATCTGGTCCTCACTCTGTAGTCCCCTCAGAGCTACATACATGGGGCACGTAGTCCATCTGATCAGTTATCCTCAAGCATGAAGAAGAGCAATACCCCAAAATTTCTCTTTTTTTAATACATCTGAGTATATGTGGTCTTGGAATGTATCATTTCATAAATGAATGAAACCGCATGGAGAAGATCAAACCTAGGAAGAACTGAAAGTGGTCTGGTTTCCTCATTCCGTCCACCTATTCAGACCACCCCTTTTTTTCCATTGGTATTGGGAATAGTGTGACATCACTTTAGACTGATTGCCACCAGATAAAGCTGGGCCAGTCTGTGAGCCATTATCCACTATCCCCAGATAATGGATAACATGACATCTGGTTGGGACATATTGCTGGGACACAGGGTAAATGTTTGAGTAACAGAAACTAGAGATTTTATCTCAGCACTTTATCAGGTTCTTTGCTTAATTATGTTAATAAAATCTTGGAAACAAGATTTAAGGTAGTTTGCAGTGTAGGTAAGATTGTATTTGCGGGTGGTCAGAGTTGGATGGGAGGACAAGCTTAAAGAAGGCTATCAGGGTACAGAAGGTCACTTTGACAGTAATAGGCAGTTACTTGACTTAGAAAATGGATAAGGTTGGTGACAGCTGGACCACAGATTCAGTGAGAGGAAAGTTTACTGAGCTAGGAAGGTAATGGGGACAGGCTGGTGGCAGAAGGAGGGACCTAGAAGAAGTTGACACCCCAAATGATAGTAAAGGAAGGGAGTTGGATCAAGAGGTGGTGAGATGGATAGGATGCAAACAAGTGGCTTAAAACAAATGGGTTAACTTCTGAATGTCAGATGTACCAGCCAATCCCAGTTGCCACCTGTCCCTCTTCCCACCCCCCAGGAAAAACTGCGGAAGTGCCTGGAGCCCCTGGAGCAGAAGCTGCAGGAGATCACCCACTGTAAGTCCTCCGAGGAGAAGAAGCCTGGAGAGCTCAAGGTAAAGGCAGCAACCCATGTGGGCTGCGCGGCAGGCAATTAGCCAGACGTTAGCCACACATTATTTAGTCACCAGTTTTAAGTCATTAGAAAAATGCTGTTCTCTCAAAAGGATGGTATTTTCTTAAGCTTGATTGTCATTAAACCTTGTACTTAAATTACTTGTCATGACTTAAGTATTGAGGAAAAGGACATAAGACGTGAAGGACCAACAATGTCTTAACATCTGCAAGTTGAGGGAGTTCGTGCCCGTTGGTTTCCTTTTGTTTGTACAGCAGGCTCTGCTGGGAGTGCAGGGACAGGAGTTTCTTAGAGGGGCTGAGGAGAAGAGAATTTAGAAGCTTCACTGGGCAGGAAGGGAGAGGGAGCCAACCAAGAGTTCCCAGAAGAACTGCCCAGTGACATTAGGACCACATTGTCTTAACCCAAGTAAGCTCAAATATGCCAGATGATGTTCCTAAAATGTTCTTCCCCTCCCCATCCTCTACCTGTAGGATCCTATCCACCCTTCAGGCAGAGGGAAAGCCACTTCCTATGCAGCTTTTCCTTCAGAAATAAGCTTGCTCAGTTTTCATGCAGTTTTTCATCTCTTTAATAGCGCTACCATATTTGTAACATGGTATTTTAGTATCTGCCTTATTTCTTCTATTGGACGGTGAACAAGTATCAATAGTAGCAGTAATAATAACTAGTATTTATTGCGTTAATTCATTGGGTGTCCATGGCATTCCAAATTTACAGCATTATATTAGGTCTTAGGGTTCTGCTCAGGTTAGACTTCTGAGTTCAGGCTAGACTTGGCACAAGTGGGACATAGAGAAGCTACTAGCAAATAGAAGAAAGTCCTGGAGGTTGTCTTTGGAAAGGGTGAACTTAGAAACCTTGTAAGGTGTAGGTGTCATTACCCCCAGTTTATGCAGGAGGAAGCTGAACTTGAATGGTCCAAGTCTAGTACCATCACACAGCCAAATGTGGTAAAACCAGAGATGCTAGTTCTGTATGAATCAATCAATATTTATTAAGCTTCCAGTAGAGGCCAACCCTGTATTTGACATTGGGAAATAATGGTGAGCAAAAACATAGTCCCTGTCTTCCTTGAGCCTACCATGAAGTGGAAAACATAAATAATGGCGTGGCACAAAAAACGTAGTTACAAGTTCATAAGAAGACAATATGGAAATTTGACCTCATTAAAGGATTCCAGAAGAAATAATGAGTTGTTAGTGTTGAGACTTAGGGATAACCAGAAATTAAACAGACATGAAAATAGTAGAGGCATTATTTTTTTTTTTTTAAGATTTTATTGGGGAATTGAGGAAGATGAACAGCCAAGTTGTTGTCCTTGAATCTTAGTTGTGGAGGGTGCAGCTAGCTCAGCTCCAAGTCCAGTTGCCATCCAGCCACCCATCAGCAGCTTGCGGCTGCTCAGCTCAAGGTGCCATGTTCAATCTTAGTTGCGGGTGGGCATAGCCCACCATCCCTTGAGGGAGTCAAACCGGCAACCTTGTTGTTAGGAGCACGTGCTCTCACCCGCTGAGCTATCCTGCCACCTGTTGGCAGCTTAGCTCGGGCACAGTTCACTGGCCCATGTGGGACTCGAACCAGCGACCCTGTTGCTCGGAGCTCACGCTCTTAACCAACTGAGCCACTTGGCCGGCCCCAAGACACTAATTTTTTTTTTTTAATTGGGGAATTGGGGGAGGGGGAACAAACAAGTTGCTGTCGTTTTGTTCTTCAGTCTAGTTGTGGAGGATATTGCTTCACCAGCCCAAGCTGGCACCATCATTGTGCTCTTCCCGGGCGAGGCAGATCAGTTGCCGGCCTCTGGATGGCCGCTCACGGCGGCTGCTGGCCACTCACGCTGGCTGCTGGCTACACACGGTAGCTTATGGCAACCCACTGCCACAGGGGCTGCAGCCTACGCCGTCGCCGGAGACTCATGGCAGCCCAGCTCCAGGTCGAGCTGCTGCTCAGCATCTTAGCTGCAGAGGGCAGTGTCACTGGCCCTCATATGTGGGATCCGAACCGGGGCCCTCTGGCATCCCAAGCGAGTTCTTAACCATCGCGCCACTCGGCCGGCCCTAAAGACACTTAATTTTTAAACAATACATTTCAACAGAAAGGAAGTATTATTATCTTAGTCCTTTATACATTTTAACAAAGCAAGCATTTCAATTGTTTAAAATTTAATTTTGATTGCAAAGGTAAACTTTAAAAAAAAGTTTTTTGGTCTTTTGAAGGGCTTCGGAGACACTTAAAATATGTGAAAACAAAGCTTTTTCCCAGTCATTAACTTTCCTCTTCATGTTGATTACCTTAAAGGTAAAGGATAGAGAGGGGAATAAACATTTTTAAACCTCTGAATACTTAGACAGAACTGTGTTTTTGAAAATGTAAGTCATTGTCTCAATGGTTTCAGAAACTACCACCAACCTTGCTTTTGTGACCATTTGAATCCTCCTTCCTCCTTCTCCCTCATCTTCACCTCCAGAACCAGACCCTTTTAAAAATAATTTGTAATTAATCATGCTGAAATGAAAGTTATTGATAAAATGATCTACATAATTTTAAAAACAGACTGTCATGTAATATAACATAAAGAAAAGTAATTTGTAGTAAAATCTGTGTAATGTTTAGACATGACTACCCTGAAAGACACTGCAATTTAGTTTTATCCTTACACCTACATGTGACATCATCAACAATGCAACAAGTACAAGTTCAGACTGAGGTAATTTTGTAGTAATGTTGACTCAAATACCACAAGCAGCTTAGCTCTTGGTGACTTGATTATTTAAAAATAATAAATAACTTTTAGTCAAGTTCCAAGAAAAACAAAATATAGCCTTATTCAGCCATTCCTGAAAAACTCAGGTATGTTAAAACTGTGTAAGAATTACTCTGTGCTTATATATATAACGGCACTCAAGTTCAGACCTATGTTTTTGAATATCCAGCAGAACATTAGAAAATGGTGTAGGACAATTTATCTTGCAGGGTTGTCTCACACATTGGAGATGTTAGCATTCTTTCCAGGAGTACCCCCAATCATGGCAAACAAAGAAAATGCCCCGTTTCCAAAATATTCCTAGAAGGAGGTAACACCCTCTTTAGAACCACTGGCCTACAAATATAGAGTGAAAAAAAGCAAAGGGCTTACAGGATTAGACGAGGAGAGACCTTTTGCTTCCTATGTACCACAGTTACGAATCCTAAATTCATAACCACATGCACATGTGCACACATACACAAACACTCTGTGCTTTACCTAAAGGTAAACGTTGTGGGAATGAACCTATTTTGTCCTGATTTGGGCCTGAGAAGGTGGCCGTGGAATGAGAAGCAGCAGCAGCTGTAGAACGAGCTCATCAGCCTCTCTGGGTAGCTAGCTGAAATCCAGAAACACCAGGCTTTCTGGCCATCCGGCTTTGAGCCAGCTCTGCTTGCCCTCAGCTTTGCCTCTCACACCCTTCCACTTCTCCTTCCAGAGCCCCCCACTCTGCTTCTTACTTTGCTCCCTCCCTTCTTGGGCTGATTCCTCCTTCAGCCCGGTGCCACTTGGAGAATCCTTTGGCGAGGTCACTTCTTGCAGTAGAGGTTCAGTGCAAGGGAGGATGTGCTTGCTGATAAACCTCAGAAAGAGTCAGGATGGTGTTTGAGTCCTGTTATTGTTAAACTTCAGGAATGTTACAAGTTCAAGTCCATTTGCTGACTGAGAGAAAGCATGGTTCAAATTTTAAGCAACTAATTTACTAAGAAACTTCGGAGCCTGTTCCTAGGATGGCAACTGTCAATTCTCTGAAGTGACTTGAAACTGTTTAACAGGTTCAGCCCTGAAATCTACATATACATTTTATAACAGCCCATTACCAAAATCTTACCAATTCTGATACTTTCCCAGTTGATTCTAACTGGTAGATGTTTTTATCAGGTAGATGTCTTGCAATATACAAATTATGACAGTCTTATCGCCTAACTTTCTAATGTTTATACTTTCCCTTTTTTGACAAATTGCATCAGCTGGAAGTTTATCATCAGATATATCAGATATTTCTGATATCTGAAATAATTTCTCATAGTGTTATTGAGTTCTTATATCTTGAATTTTTTTTTACTAAAACATAAAAATACAGCCTTTTTAGAAGTTAGTGTAATTAAAGAAAATTAAAACTTTTAAACATTGATTTTTTTTTTTTTTAATCTCCCCAGTTGTCTTCACTCCCAAGTCAAGTCATCAGTGTGGGTGACAATGGGGATGAGGCCATTCTTTATAGAAAGAAATTGCAATGGATAGAAACATGAGTGTCTTGTTAAACTATTTCCAGTGACACTGGAATCTGTTCATTCATATGCATGGCGGGTGGGGAAAGGCACCCTGTGCCCTGCTGGCCCTGCTAAACATAACACCCTCCCTCTTTCTTCAGAGACTAGTGGAGAGTCGCCGACAGCAGATCTTAAAGGAATTTGAAGAGCTTCATAGGCGGCTGGATGAAGAGCAACACATGTTGCTTGCACGCCTGGAGGAGGAGGAACAGGACATTCTACAGCGCCTCCGGGAAAATGCGGCTCACCTTGGGGACAAGCGCCGGGACCTGACCCACTTAGCTGCTGAGGTGGAGGGCAAGTGCTTACAGTCAGGCTTCGAGATGCTTAAGGTTCGACCTTTGCCCCTGCACAGCCCCGCGGGTCGAGCACAGTGTAGCTTTGCACAGGCCGTTCTGTCTGCCCGGGATGCTCCCTCTGCCCCGCTTCTCTAAACCCAGTTGTTCCTTCTAAGCATACGCAAAGAATCTACTTCTACAGAGAGGCTTCTCTGATTTCTCCCATCCCCTTCTAATCATTTTTGTGTTCTTATGTCTTGTCAACAATTATGTGCTTCATTTGTACCAAAGAAAAAAATCAACTCTTTTGAAAGGAGTGGGTCTAGTCTGAATTCATGAAGAAAACTATGCATTAAAAATTGTGTAAATGCAGTTACCATTACTTTTAAGTCCTGGATGGAACTTGATATTTAACCTAGTGCTGAAAAAGAATAGAAACCTAGTCTGAAGGACACTTGAAATTATGTATGTATTGTTTTTGATATGTAAATGGTGCCTCAAATGTTTGAAGTAATTTGTTCTCTTAAGCAGATGAATGGTGTTAGTAAGGCTGTAGAAAACATATTTTTTACCTTAGAGATCAGATTGCCAGCATTTGAATCAGTGAGGCTTCGTTGTGCATTTCTCTGCATGCTGATGTATGCCTTGGTATTTATTCTTATGTCCTTTCATGTATGTGTGTTCTGCCTTCCACATTAAACTGAGAAATCCTTGGTGGGCAGAGATTTGTCTTCTTTGTCTTCTGGACCCCAAGTATTTGCAAATCAGGATTGGCACACAGTTATTAATGTGTATTAACCATTACCAGACGGGGGATACCAAACCATAGTGGGAAAGTGTGATTCGTTCCTATGCCACCAGCCTGCAACTATCTGTATTGATCCTCAAGGAGACAGGTGTGTGGTTGGTACTTGGGGGACAGAGTAAAGAGCAGACACAATCCCTGTACCTTGCGTCGAGCTCCCAGTATGCTTGGGGAGCAAAGACAAACACACAAGAAACCATTTGGAAGTGATACAAATGACCAAGTTTCATGATGACCAGAAGTTGAAAGTGGGGATGAAATTGGGAGAGAGAGGCTCAGATCGCTCTGGAGCGCTTCCCCTTCGTGGTGACCCTCAGTTTGCCCTGCTCCTATTTTAGAAGTCTAGAACTTTGGGGAGGAGGGGGAACCTTTTGCCTGTAGGACCCTTGACTACCAGGACCAATTTGCTTTCTTTTCTCCTTCCCTCTAGGATGTCAAAAGTACCCTGGAAAAGTAAGTGATTCTTGCATCTCTTTGAGTGAGTTAGGTCTTGGCTTAGAGACTTAGGGGCACAGTAAGGAATTGGGAGAGTAAAGATAGAAAAGTCACACAGTGTCTGGGTAGGATATGGGTTCATTGCATCCATGAAGCCAGTTAGAAACAAATCATCAGGACAAATCGTTCCTTTCCTTTTTCTCTTTGAGCATCCGGACTTCCTTGTTAAGAAAGATACCAAGATAATGTAGAACCAGATTCTCCCTGTGCCTGTATGTGGAATTGAGTCCAAACAAGACGGAAGGAGGAAGGGGTTGGGGAAGAGGAGGGGGGAGCGGGTGGTTACCCATTTGCATGAAATATAGCAATATCCCCAGAAAGTTCTGGGACTCATTCTTAAAATAATGATCTGTCCAGGGGACCATATGGCTCTCCGTAAATTGACAAAAGAAAGCAATACACAAATATTTGTCCTCAGGGAGGAGGGAGAGGGTGGGAGGATGGAGAATTGTAGTTTCTCCCGAAAGACGTCAGCATCTGAAGACTCACTCGACTGGAGCGGCCCCTGACCCTGCCCTTTCTTCCCCTATCTCCCTATCGCTCCTAGATGTGAAAAGGTGAAGACCATGGAGGTGACTTCAGTATCCATAGAGCTGGAAAGGAACTTCAGCAATTTCCCCCGACAGTACTTTGCCCTAAGGAAAATCCTTAAACAGCTAATTGGTGAGTTACTCCCAAAAGGAAAGTAGCAGAGGGAATCAGTAGAGAGAAGAAAGTCTTTAGGTCCTACTTTATCTGGGCTTCAGCTATCCCGTCTGTCACTTACTGTGCCCACACCCACACCCACCCCTTTACCTGAGGGCTTTCAGTCCCTCTGAGTCACAGAACCCCAAGTGAGAAGCCATAGGTGTCTTCTACTCTTAGGCCCTCACTTTTCTGAATAGGGACCCAGAAAAGTTAAGTAATTTGCCTAAACTTGTCCCCTCTTGAGAGTGAAAGGAAATGTTAATATTTACTCAGAGAAAATAATCTTAAACAAGGACCGTTCCAGGAAAACACACCTGGTCACCCTGTCCCTAGACCCCGATGATGCCTTCTCTGTATCCTTCTTAACATCTTCCCTTCTTTCTGGCCACTGGACTGTGCCTGTGCTTCTCTGCACAGTAAGATAGGTGATGATGTTGGGGCCTGGAGGGAGGACCAGGCAGGAGTCTAAACCCCCAACCCTTGCAAAGTCAAGACAGCATTGCCTGCTTATTTTAGGGCCCGGGTGAGAAGTGAAGCCAGTGTTCCCTCCCCTCCTGTAGGTGACACCCTGGATTGAGAAAGTTAACCAAACCACGGTGTTCTGGGGGCTTTTAAGGGAGCAGGCTCTGGAAGGCAGGCTGGAAGAATGAGGCAGGGGCATTTAGCTATTCCCATCCTCATCTAGCTCCCCACTCTGGCTTCTCCCGCCAGCGGATGTGACCCTGGACCCTGAGACTGCTCATCCTAACCTAGTGCTGTCGGAAGATCGTAAGAGCGTCAAGTTCGTGGAGACAAGACTCCGGGATCTCCCTGACACACCACGGCGTTTCACCTTCTACCCTTGCGTCCTGGCTACTGAGGGCTTCACCTCAGGCCGACACTACTGGGAGGTGGAAGTGGGTGACAAGACCCACTGGGCAGTGGGTGTATGCCGGGACTCTGTGAGCCGGAAGGGTGAGCTGACGCCCCTGCCTGAGACTGGCTACTGGCGGGTGCGGCTGTGGAATGGGGACAAATATGCGGCCACCACCACGCCTTTTACCCCTTTGCACATCAAAGTGAAACCCAAGCGGGTGGGCATATTCCTAGACTATGAGGCTGGCACACTGTCTTTTTACAACGTTACAGATCGCTCTCATATCTACACCTTCACTGATACTTTTACTGAAAAACTCTGGCCCCTCTTCTACCCAGGCATCCGGGCTGGTCGGAAAAATGCTGCACCACTTACCATCAGGCCCCCAACAGATTGGGAGTGACAGGTAGGGACGTGGGGATGATTGGGGTGAGGCAGGGTCAAGAGCTATGGGCCTGCCTTCCTGCGACCTGCTGGAACGTCTCTGTGTCTGCCTGGTTTCAGTCCTGAACCATTGGGGAGAAGCACCTTGGTTTCTAGAATGGTTTCTGTGGGAGAGGAGTAGGACTGGGCTGGCATGAGAGCACAGCTGTGTCGCCCTCCTAACTGTCAAGGTGAGGAGCTAGTTCTGGGGGGATTACCTCCCCTGACGTCCATCAGGTTTTCTATTGCACAAGGACGGATTGGGAAAGAAGGAGAGCCTTTTCCAGAAACAAAACGTTTTTGGGAGGGTCTGATGTGCTCAAACCAGAGGAGGAAACAGAAACCCCTGCACATCTTTTTAGAGTGTTCTTTGACCCAGAATAGTCTTGTTTTTATGAGGAAGAGCACAGGGGTGTGTGTACCTCTAGATTGAAATAAAAATGAATGACAGTTGCTCTCATGGGTCTAGAAGTTGAGGAGTTTTTCCCTGGACAGAGATGGGGCATCAAGAAGGTTAGAAAGGTCAGGGAAGGGGGCTAAAGGAACAGTTTCCTAGATACTAATGAAGGGAAGAGGGGTTTCTTTGGTCTTCTATTCCCAGAGTAAGGTTGCCATTGTGAGTAGGATCGGCCAGAGGTAGGAATGTGGGGAGGAGAGCCCAGGTCCTTGTCTCAGCCTTCAGCAGAGCTGGCTTTCTGCCTGCCCCTTTATAGTTGATTGTCTCCAAGAAGTTGGTCACCTTACTCTTCAGAGGCAAGGCGCCAGAGATCCTTCAAGACACTCTAGTGAGAGCATAGCTTTCACTGCTTGCCCAAGGGAACTTGGAAAGGAGAGAGTCAGATATTAGAGGAAAGAAAGTATTTCTATCCAAAGCTCTGGCCTTAAAGAATGTTACTAAATAGTTACTCCCACATTGTCAGGCTTGTTACCTGTCTACAGTTTCCAAGTCGGAAAGGGAAAAAGGAAATGGAGTCTTCCTAAGTCTGAGGACAGGGTAGAAGAGGGTGGTGTGGGTAGGGAAGGGCCAGATGGGCATCTTTCTTGTGCCTGTTTGCACCTGGCCCGGAACTGGTGTTCACAAGAGCTGGTCTCCTTGTTTGCTGCCATCCTTCACCACTTGCCATTTCCCCTATCAGAGAATGTAAATCATTTAATGTTAGGCCAAAACTTACAACCTGTAGGGTACAGATGTTGTTGAAAAAGGTAAAGCAATGCATGCCAAATCAAACTAAAATGAATTGGACTATCTGCTGCTTGGGTCATTGGGTTCACAGAAGATTGGGATAAGAAACTGCAGTTTATTGAGGGCATTTCAGTTCCTCCTGCCACCTCAACAGGACTTTGTCCAGACTCTCTTCTTACCTTTGTGCCTTGACTGTGGTTCTTTGTGGCGAGATGCTTTGGTTGGTAAAACATAATATGGAACAAAGGATCCACTGAAGTGATTTCTGTGTTGTGTGGTGATTTGACAACGGCCTCTGTTGATGTGTAAAAATCACTGGGTATTAAAAATGCATGTTCCTGGGCTCACCCTTAGTGATTGATCAAGGTCTGTAGTGGGCCTGGGCATCTTCATTTTAAGCATACTCCTTTCATTTGAGTCTGGCATACTTGTGAAAGTCATCCCTGAAGAGGCTTCAGCCACTCCTCTGAGCTGGAGGCCTGGTTCCCTACACAGCCTGACAGGGTTTGAGAGGGGAGAGGCCTCATCCTCTCCTGACTTAGGAAGCCCTCTCCCTTTCTCAGGGTTCATTCATGTTCTGCCCCTCCAGCTCACATCCCTCTACTTCTGACCTCATGAACTGGTGGTCATTAACTATGAAGCAGAGGTAAACACCAAATGGGAGACAGACAGAGGTCACAGGGAGAGATTGTGATCTATGTCTGTGTTGGGGTGGGGTGTAGTTTCAGGGGCAGGAGATGCTGTTGACAGGTTTCTGTGCTCCAGTACCTAAGACTCAGAGTTAGTGTGTTTAGTATTACATAACAGGAAATGTATGTGGCGTGAGAAGTACATGAACTTGTCGCAACAATGCTGCTAACCTTTTTTGACATCAGAGGGATTATTATGAGTTTATACCAACTGGACAAACAGTTAAAGAGTTAACCAAGTTTACTATTTGGAAGTACTGAAAAGGCTGCATGAAAAAGTTAGATGAAAAGTAGCTGAACTTTTCGCCAACAATTCATAGCTCTTGCATCACGACAATGCATCAGCTCACACGGCACTGTCTATGAGGGAGTTTTTAGCCAGTAAACAGATAACTATATTGGAACACCCTCCCTACTCACCTGATCTGGCCCCCTGTGACTTCTTTCTTTACCCAAAGATAAAGGAAATATGGAAAGGAAGACATTTTTATGACATTCAGGACATCAAGGGTAATATGACAACAGCTCTGATGGCCATTCCAGAAAAAGAGTTCCAAAATTGCTTTGAAGGGGGGACTAGGCACTGGCATCAGTGCATAGCTTCCCAGGGGGAGTACTTGGAAGGTGACTGTAGTGATATTCAGCAATGAGATATGTAGCACTTTTTCTAGGGTGAGTTTGCGAACTTAACTATCTGACCTCGTATTTCTTTGGTTAAGCGGGGAAAAGCTGTGCTTTCTGAGGGCCAGGAGCCATTTTCCTCCCCTCCACCGCCTTCATGATCCTTTCTAGTTTTACTCCCACTGGCACCAGTACATAATGTATAACCTCTGTTCCTTTTATCTGTAGATATTTGGCTTCAGTAGAGTAAGCAGAAGGTCTAGCTGTGTATAAATTGCACAGAACCATCTCCCCAGCCTCTCTATATGAAGAGACCAGTCTTCTAAAAATGTTTAGCAGTTTAGATCCTCTGTGTTCCATTAGCATCGCCAGTCTCTACCTAGTATAAATGATCATGGGCTTGAGAAAGACTAAAAAATAGAAACTTATAAAGGGACCCTGGGCTTGAATTGCTGAAGGGGTGGGGGTAACCGCGTTTACAAACAGATGGGTCTGTGGGTCCGCTGGGTGGCGTCAGAGTAAGGCCCACAGGCAAGCGCCTTGCTGGCACAAGAACTACACTTCCCTGGAGGCCTTACGCTGACGCGGGGGGTGGGGTTACCTGAGGGGCGGGGTCTGCAGAGCGTCATGTGTGGGGCGCGCTCCAGGCCAGGATGGCGGGGCCGGTGAAGGACCGTGAGGCATTCCAGAGGCTTAGCTTCCTGTACCAGGTGATTCCGCGTAGGGGCCGCACGGGGAGCGGGGTGTCTGATGCCGCAGGCTCCTGAGTGACCGCACCCCTCCCCTAGGCCGCACACTGCGTCCTTGCACAGGACCCCGAGAACCAGGCGCTGGCGAGGTTCTACTGCCACACAGAGAGGACCATAGCGAAGCGGCTGGTTTTGCGGCGGTGAGACAGGCGCGGAGCCTAGCGGAGGGCATGGGAGGGGGGGCGAAAGAGGGAGAGCAGGCGCTCAGACCACCTTCCTCCCCCTCCGCCCTCAGAGACCCCTCGGTGAAAAGGACCCTCTGTCGGGGATGTTCTTCCCTTCTCATCGCAGGCCTGACCTGCACGCAGCGCCAGAGACGTGAGTACTCCTGGCGAGGTGGGGGGACTGAGGAGCATTGGTGGGCGGGGTGAGGGGCGGGCCAGGACCCTTTCCTCGCTTTAGATGGGTGTCTGGTGGGATTTGCAGGAGTAGGCTTTCTCCAGCTCTGAGTTAAGGTGTTAACTACATTTGAACAAACTAAGGTCTGGGCAATTCTAGAGAAATGTTGCCATAAGAGGCAACCTCGCCCATGCATAATAATAGGTGTTATTTGGCATCGTGGAGACCATGATTCCCATCACCACTCACTCATTCATGCAACAAATATTTATTTTTCTAACATGTGTCAAGTATTGTGCTACATTCATTATTTTTATTGAAATTGGAGTCTGGTGGGACATACTAAGGTAGAAACCATTAAAATAGTTTAGAAGAAATGCTTTAATTGGGGGGTAGAATGCTAAGTTACTTATGCCAGTACTGGTGAGACTCATCATAAGAAGGCATAGTGGAAGAAGAAAATTCTAGGCATGTGTATTGACTCTGAGATGAGAGCTTGTGGCGCTGTCAAGAAAATAAGAGTTTACAGAGCTGGAGTCTGAGGTGCACAAGACATGTGGCTAGAGAAAGAAATGGCAGATCTTAAACAGTCTTGTTAAAGAGTTTGGACTTTATCTAAAAGAATACCAAGAAATTGATCACTTCTGCAGGGTCCTGACACTGTCAGATTTGCATTCCAAGTGGGGAAGGGGTGGAATTCCTACTAGAAAACAATAGAGGCAAAACTGGGTGCAGGAGACCTTTCCTTCTAATCCGAGGTACTCTCTTCCTTTATCCCTCATCCACCCCAGGCTGCAGGGGACAGCGCTGGACAGTACAGACCTGCCTAACATGCCAGCGCAGCCAACGGTTCCTTAACAATCCCGGGCATGTGCTCTGGGGAGACCGGCCTGAGGCCCAGCTGGGGAGCCAGGCTGGTGAGAAGTGCGGGACAAAAATGTGGGCTCTCCTGGGGGTAGGGATGGTAGGGGACATAGTACTGAAGCGGGCACATAGGTGAATTCTGGGTTAGTGTGAGAGGTACCACAGTCTTAGAAAACTCTAATTCTGCTCACCTGTCCAGATCCTAAACCACCACAGCCCCCGCCAAACACAGCCCACCTTCCTGAGGAGAAAATGCAGCCTCAGAGCTCCAGTCACCAGTGATGGATTCACCCTATCTTCCAAATAAACAAATTTAATTCTGCTTCACTTGGTGATTCTGTTCTGTATTTCAGCTCTTAATTCCATTTTCCTCTGTTTTTGTCTGTATTTCTCTCACCGGCTAACCTCCCCTTTGTCCTTTGTCTTTATCCTTCTAGTCCACTTTCAGGGAGATCTGATTTCCACAGACTAATTGGCCCCACTTAGCAGCCCCATAGCCAGGACCCCGACTCCAGTGCGCCTTCACCCTGCTTCTCAGTGCAGTCAATGCCACGTTTGGAACCCGGGCTCTCGGGTTGTCTGCAAGGGTCTGAGCTGCTTAGGGTATCCATGCTTAGGCAGGCCTGACTGTTGACTGAAGGTCTGGACAGACGGCTGATGCCACAGATGCTATTTTTAAATGAGGAAAAGAAGTTTGGAGGATGGGGAAGGAGATGCTTCAGATCCTCTAGTTCTTCTGCAGAGGTGGTCTTTTCCAATCTCTGGGTTTTCTTCTTTAAAATTCTAATAAGGGAAATTGTACAAACCCAGAGTAACAAGGTGAAAGATGATATCAAAAGGACACTGACAGGGCCGGCCAAGTGGCTCAGTTGGTTAAGAGCACAAGCTCTGAGCAACAGTGTCACTGGCTCAATTCCCACATGGGATGGTGGGCTATGCCCACCCGTAACTAAGATTGAACACGGCACCTTGAGCTGAGCTGCCCTGAGCTGCGGACAGGCAGCCAGATGGCTCAGTGGTTAGAGCGTGTGCTCTTAGCAACAAGGTTTCCGGTTCAACTCTCGCATGGGGTGGTGGGTTACACCCACCCTCAACTAAGATTGAACACAGCACCTTGAGCTGAGCGGCTGCGAGCTGCCGATTGGCGGCTGGATGGCGACTGGACTTGGAGCTGAGCTAGCTGCACCCTCCACGACTAAGATTGAAGGACAACTTGGCTGTTCCCCTTCCCTAATTCCCCAATAAAATCTTTGTAAACAACAAAAACTGTTCTCTTCAGTATTCCTAGAGAACTCACTCAAAGACAGAATTTTAGCCTGACCTCTGCTGAGTGCCAGCTAATCAATTTACCCTGAAAGAATACAAACAAAATTTTCTGTTTCCAGAATGCAGTTTTCTTTCTTGCCTTTCTCTTAAAAGTCCTGTGTTGCACTTACTGCTGCATAAAAATCACCCATAATGTGGCTTAAAACAGCAGTAATATATTATTTCCCCCAATTCTGTGAGCTAGGCTCTCTGAGGTCTTGGCTGGGTGGTTCTTCTGTTCTAAACAGCACACCTGGAGTCACTCCGCTTCCTTTGACTGGTGCCTGGTACCTGATCAGGAAGACCCAGGAAGCTTCATTGTGTGTGTGTGTGTGACCTCATTGCTTCTCCATGTGGCCTTGCTGCATAGCTGGCTTTGATGTCCTCACCGCTTGGCTGTCTCAGGGTGGTTGGACTTCCTTCCAAGAGTACAGGCTCCAAGGCGCAAGTGCTTATCAAGCCTCTGTTTTCACCATACCAAAGCAAGTCACATGGCCAGGCCCAGATTCAACAGAAAGGGCTTACACCGGAGCGTGAATATGGGGAGGTTCATTGGTTCCTTGGGGACCACCGTTATAGCTGTTGACCATGTCCTCGGTTTGCCTTTGTCCCTGACTTAGTCTCTCCATTTACTCCTTTACATGTCATTAAGTCATTCACATGAAAAATTATGAACAGTGTGTGACTAACTAAATGTTTCTGAGTTATTCTTCAACAGTTTCTTTCTTGGGCCTGCTGTACAGCCAACAGAAATGTGCGGCCTGAAAGTGCATCCTGTGCAGACCTGAACCCTTTTCATCTTCAGCTCACCCCCTTGACTGCACCCACAAGTCTCATTTTTGAGCTCGTTGGCTCTGGCACACTAAACCTGATTCTTGGCCATATTTGCTTTGAGTGTGATTATGATTGCACATGACACTGAACATGCCCACAGTGGGATAGCAGTGGGGGAACTCTGAGTTCTGAGTTCATGGCTGAGTCATTAACTGACGTGTGGGAGACCACAGGAACCAGTTCCCAGCTGGGAGGCACATGAAACAACGTGGAATATGGTTCACTTATGATTCTCTGTGGCTTACTGATCTGTGTTATGTTTGTGTCAGTATAGGTTCCTGTAAGTAGATATCAGAACTCTCTTCCTCCTTCCAAAACTCTGTCCTTTTTCATGTTTACTTATTATGACATGATAGTTGGCAGTACATGCAAAAATGGATTTCCTGTTAACAGGAAATCAGATCCCTAGAATGCAATAGTCACCTTTCTTTAATGTTTCTAAATAATTTAGTAATTCAAAATTTGTGCACCTCTGGGACTCTTTAAATAAAATTAAATGGAACAGAGAAGAAACTTGGGTCATTCCAACTGAATCAAGAAAACGAGGTCTTTCAATTGCCTTAGAAACCAAGACTTAATCATTCCCCAAACCTTAGGTACATTTAGTACTTTTAAAAACTGGTAAGAGCCTGCCAAGTGGCTCAGTTGGTTAAGAGCTCGCTCAAGAAAGGGTTGCAGGTTCGATTCCTGGCCCGAGCTGAGCTGCTGCTGAGCTGCCAACAGGTGGCAGGATAGCTCAGCTACAAAACATAATAATAATAAAACCTGTTAAAAATGGGGGTGACCAGTTGTCTCAGTTGGTTAGAGCGTGGCACTGATAACACCAAGGTTGCCGGTTCGATCCCTGCATGGGCCATTGTGAGCTGCACTCTCCTTAAAAATAGTCAATTATGCCATTGTAGCATGAAAGCAATGTGTAACCAATGACCATGGCTGTTCCCCAATAAAATTAAAAACAAAAAATGTAAATAGTGTCATTGTCAGGGAGAGTGAGTGATAAAAGAACTAGAAACCATCCTGAATTCAGAAGGGAATTATAAAATTACTTAAATTCTCAACAAGGGGAATAATAAATCTAGTTTTGTCTGCATCACATAGTTCCTGTAACTCAAATGAGATAATGTATGTGGAGGTACCTTGAAAACGGTATTATATGGCATTTTAATAAAGTATAAGTAGTAATCATAATACTTTGGGAGTAAGAAGTAGCAAATATATTAGAAAAGACAGCTCCTGGACATCAAGGAAAATGAGTCACTGCCCCTACAATACATTTGTTAAATGAGGCAGTTTGACAATGTTCTTTTCCTATCGTTTCTTCCAACTCTGGAGACTAACAGATTAAGTTATCCAATTTTTCACTAAATGTCAAAAAGCCAGGGCTGCTTCTGGATTTCCATGCACTTATTAAATATTTTCTGAGGGCTTACTCTGGTAGGGCATTGCTCAGGACTTGGGGTGTACATCAGTGAACAAGAGAGTTGGAGGGAAAAGCCAGCCGAGTGGCGCATTGGTTAAGAGTGGGCTTGGGATGCCATCTCTGAGCAGCAGGGCCCCGGTTCAGATCCCACATTAGGGCTAGTGACGTTGCGCCCTCTACAAGCTAAGATGGTGAACAACAGCTTGACCTGAAGCTGGGCTGCCGTGAGTTACTGGCTCCGGTGTAGTCTGCAGTGAGGCTGCAGTGGGCTGCCGTAAAGCTACAGTGAGTGGCTGACAGCCAGTGTGAGTGGCTGGCACGGCGGTGGCCAGCATGAGCTGCCAAGAGCCACCATAAGCGGCCGTCCAGTGGCCAGTGACTGACCTGCCTCACCCAGGAAGAGCACAATGATAATACCAACATGGGCCAGTGAAATGACGTCCTCCACAGCTAGACTGAAGAACCAAAGGACAGCAACTTGTCTGTTCCCCTTCTCCGGTTCCCCAATGCTGTTCCCCTCCCCCAATTACCCAATAAAATCTAAGGGGGAAAAAAAGAGTTGGAGGGAAGACAAGGAAAAAACAATGTATGATAAATTCCATATCATACAGGGATGCGTACAATGTAAAAAAATCAGGAAGGTAAGGAAGCAATTTCCAGTTTTAAACAGAGCAGTCCAGGCAAGCAGCACTGAGAAGGTGGTGACCACAGCAGGTTCTGAAGGTGCCTCTTTTGTGTCCCCTCAGAAAAGCCCAGAGAAGGCCACTTCCTGCAGGTACTTCCCACATGTGCTAGCAAGTATCTCTCTGTCCAAGAGCATTCCCTGGAAGCAGGAGCCATGCGAGGTAGGCAAAACATTCCAAGGAAAACTCCCTGGGAGCAACCGCAGACAGTGAGGGATGAGAGTGGTGGATTAATATTCCAGGTAAACCCTCAGGGTCTCCCACAGGGTTGAGCCCTGGTCACACACAAGTGCTCTTTACACACTTCCTTCCCTCCCGTTGCCCTCTGCACTCCTTCACCATAATTCCTGGATGATCTTCCAGGTAAACTATTGTGTTTGCTCTGAAGGAACCCAAACTGAGAGGGACATTTGAAAAAAGACTTGAAGGAGGTAAGGGATCTAGCCATGCAGATATCCAAAGAGAATCTCCTGGGCAAAAGGAACAGCAAGGACTAAGGTCTGAAGTGGGAGCCTGCTCAGGGGTTCCAGGGTCAGAAAGGAGGCCGGTGTGAATGGGACAGAGTGAGCAAGGTGGAGATAAGGGATGCCAGAGATCTTCATTTAGGCCACCATAAGGAAATTGTTCATAGGGAGGCCATTGGAAATTTTTAGACAGGAAAAATGGCTTAACATTTTTAAAGGATCACTGTTCTTTTTTTTTAATTAGTATTAGGTGTACAAAAAACATAATTATTAGACACTTACACCCCTCACAAAGTGATAACCAAACTGTCTACTACCCATCTGACATCATACGAGTACATAGCTATTACAATACCATTGAATGTATTCTCTATGCTGTACTTTACATCCTGTGACTATATATGTATTTAATTATAGTTGACATTCAATATCATTTTATATTAATTTCAGGTGTACAGCACAATGGTTAGGCATTTATATAATCTATGAAGTGATCCCCAGATGAGTCCAGTACTCATCTGACACCAAACATAATTTTTACATTATTGCTTATATTCTCCATACTGATTTCACATCCCCATGACTATTTTGTGAATACAAATTTGTACTTTCTAATCCTTT